ATAAGAAAAGTTAAATACAAATTTAAAGTATTTTTAACTGAAATGTCTTGATATCATAAACTCAAGTTCATTATATAGCCTTATTCATCCACTCCTTTGTTCATCATAAGTAATGTGAGATTTCTTTCAACATATCTTGAACAATGTGAAATTTTTAAAATGTACTATCATGACAATCCTAACAAAATATGCACACCAAAATCAAAAGAGCTGTCTTTGTTGGTTTCTTACACTCTTTATGTTCAAAAAATAATATTCTTATTGTCTTATATATCTTAATCTTACATAAATTGAAATACATATGTTTTTTTTATATTAGTTTAAACCAATTTAAATTTTGGTTCTTATACTTTATCTTTGATAGTTTTTCAAATTCTATGTTTAAGTTGTTAGAATTTAATTTCTTTTTTGTTTTCATTCATATATATAGTTTTATTTTGGTTAAGTTTTGTTTCCTTCTTACCTTAATACATTTGGATATTGTTCCAAAATTTGAAATGTACGTGCTGCAAAAGATATCTGTATTGACATAATGTTGGTAGCAAAAACTAAAACCAGACTTGTTAAAATTATAGAGATGGGAAAGCAGATTTTAAAAATATAAAGAATATAACTAAAATCAAAGTAAACTATAGAAAACTATTGTATTTAAACTTTTCACATAGCAATAAAATGGTTGTTCAAGAATAAGGGTGCATTCATGTAAAAAAATTTTATTAAATATAATTAAGAATAAAAATAAGTTAAACTTTATATAAATAAATATAATTTATTAAATTTAATGTATTGTCTGTTATAAATTTTTAATTAAGTTTAGTCTAATTTTTTTAAAAGTGTAACTTTATTTATTATGTTTTTAATGACTTACTTTATATTAAAATGTTAATATGTGATTAAACTTTTTATAAATTTATAAATAGATATGTTTTATAAAAATTATAAGATTTAAATTTTAATAATTCATAAAAAATAGTTTAATACTTTAAATATTTATAATAAAATTATATATTTTTATTTATTATTTTTAGATTAAATATTTAATTTAAATAAATAAATTACTAAACATACAACAATATCAGTCTATAAATCATTAGACAAATTTAATAGTATAAAATTTCACACTTTAAATTAATAAATATAATATAATTAAATAAATTTTAGATTTCAAATTAATAAATTTAATAAATCAATATCTAAAGTACACAAATATCAACATTGTTTCATAATAAAATATATAGACATGAATAAAAAAGATACATTTAAAAACAATAATACAAAAGATTTTAGTAAATGTGTTTTTTTAGAAGTTATTTAATAGAAATATTTTTCAATTTCAACAAAAAAATATTAAAATTTCTAATTTAAAATTTTATTTATTTTAAAATTAAATTTATTTAATATAATATAATATTATAAATTTTTCTATAAATTTATTTAATATATTATTATAAAATTTATAAATCTTAAATAAGTCATTTTAATAGATTTTAATTTTTAAACTAAAGTTTTACATATTTAATTAATTAAATCTTTCTAAATATTTAAATTAAATTTATTATTTAAATAAATTAAATCAAACTAAATTTTAAAAAATTATATCGTAAACCTACTCTATTTTTATCTAATTATAAAAAAGATAATCATATTCCTTGTTAATAATATTTCAACATCTTTTTAATTACTAAAAAGATAAAGCAATAAAAATTTTAATTTAAACAATATTTCATGATTTTTAAAATAATAATAATACTATTTATATATAAAAAAAATGTTTACATAAGGGTCACCTCCACATGAGAGTCAACGTTTGACTTAGCCACCATAGTTTACAATATGGAGGAGGCAGATACGCATTTCCTTTTATTCAAATTTGAATTTGACTATGCCTTGTGTTGATTCATCATATCAGGCATTGAATATTTTCTGCCTCGTTTTTTTAAATAATATTTTTTAATTAAATTATGCAGATTAAAAATTTGTTGAAAGTAATTAATACATTATTTACAAAAACTAATTTAATATTTTAAATTTAATAGTTAATTTATATTGTTATATTAATTGTTAAGCCATTAAATTTTTTTAAAATAGTTTATATTAAAGCTAACAAAATTTTAAGAAAGGTTTATAATTAAAGAAAATGTTAATTTTAATCATGTTAAATTTTAAAAAGAAATAGTGAAATTTTAATTAAAAAACAGTATTTATCATATTTTTATATTTTTAATGTAATTAATATTTGTAAATAAAAAAATTACTTTAACCTCAAATTTATAAGTTGCAGTTAATAATTAAATATTTTATTAATATAATTTTACTATTAACATATCTCAATGTAGTTTTAAATTTTAACTAGTATTTTCAATATATTGCTAACAAACTTAATTGAAAACATAAATTTGCCTTGTTTGGGCCTCCTTCTAACTGAAAATAAAAATTGTTAACACAGTGTCTAGGTTGCGTGAAGAGTAACTATGCTCATTTACCCCTGTTAAGTAAACTAAGATGTAATATGCTATTATTTAGTGTTAATACTACCGTTTAATAGATTTTTATCATATAGGGGTGAAACAAAGAGAAAATTAAAAAAAAAAGCATATAAAAATTAAATAGTTCGTATAAATTTTTTATAATAATATAAAAAATTAATTTAATTAAAATCTAAAACTTTTAATATAACAATTTTTCTATGTAACTTTATGTTTAAAATTTTTAAATATTTTTTATTATTTTAAAATATTTAACGCTAAAATAAACTAAAAAAAATTCAGGCCCTAATTTTACCGTTCAAATCACAGCTAAAGAAGAACAAAAATAATATTCCCAGGTTCCTCTTTTCTTTTACTTAAAAATCAAAACATTCAAATAAGTAAAATGTGTTTATGTAAAATCAGATTTTTCAATTGTTTTCCTTTTAAAATAACTTTTCTTAAACACACCCTTAAAGTCAAGGTTGAATATTTTTTCTAAAAAAATATCACATTAAAAATATACAAATATAATAAATAATATATTATAAAATTATATAAGTCAATTTTTTTTAAATTTTAATTTTTATAATATTGTTAATAACATATTTTGTTGATATTAATCTCAGTTAAATCATATAAGTTAATGAGATAATATGTAAATAAATAAATAAAATACGTTATTAAAATTAGTAACAGAGAAACCAAATAAAAAATAAAAAGTAAATTAAAATTTTTTAATAAGCTAAATACAAAAATTTTAAAATAAAACTTTATTTAAGACATTCTTAAATTATATATAAATGGATTACAACCCATGACAACGATAAATATGTTTTTGATTAATCAAATGCACCAAGCTGAAAAGGGGTCAAAAGCCATAAGCAGCATAGCTAGCTGCACAGTCTCTACCATTTGCATTGGTCACCCACCTTGCCATTGTATTCACAAAACTTCATCAAACAAGAGCGAAAGCAATTTTAACTCAAACATTTAAATAGTATTAATACTTTTTATTTTTTTTTCTTGTAATCTTATTAATTATCATTATCCATCATACTTCATATTTATTTTATTTTTTTAATTTCTTTCTCTTTTTAAACATAAGACATTTTTGCATACACTAGGTAGGGAAAACTTGTTCCGTTGAAGTGGCAGAGTCATATGGTGCCAATTTAGGCTCCAGTAACCTAAACCACTCACACTCAGTAGTTCAGTTCTAGTGGAAATAAAATATCTTCTGAAAAGATGGCTCCTCGGATTCGGGAACTCGTACTTTACTTCACATTAAATTATTAAAGAATATTGCTAACCACTACAATTAGAGTAATTTGTTAAAAAATTAAATGTTAAATGTTTTATTTAAAAATTTGTTAATTGTATTAAAAATTATGTATACATATTTTGATAAAATAATAATATTTTTAATTTCTTAACATACTCTTAGCATTTATCATTATTAAAGAGGGATAAAAGGGTAGGATCATGTATTGTTTTCAAATAATAAAACATAATTAAGCCAATAGAATATTCTTTTTTAATTATGCCACTAACCTTGCATGCACTCACTTTGATTAATTAATTAATCTTAATTTGTAAAAGAAAAACTTAAACAAAATTTTTAAATAAATTTACATTATACAATATCTAAGTTATCATCGTTATAAATTGCTACGTAAATTGATGTTTTTTTAAAATCTTAACCCATACTTACCGTGGCCTGACAATACATACATGCAGCGTATGAGGATGATTACACTCCGCGTCTACATTGTTAATTCATAATATTGTTTGACTTCATAATTCTATTTTGATTAGATTAAAATTATTAATGAAGATAATTGGAATGCTTAACTTTTTTTTGTCAGTATATTATAACGTTTTTAGTGTTAATTTCATTTTATTGTACAGCACTAGAATGTGTCCATATTTAATATATGTTCCTCTGCTGCTACATCAATTTATTAGAGACATGTTTGGAAATATATAAATTTTGAAGAAAAAAAACTAAAAATCTATCAAAAGTTTTGAAAAATTACATTTTACAATAAGTTAAACTACAACACACACTAATACTAGACACATAAAGTTACTATTGTTACGTGCATAATAAAAAATACTTACAAGCTGCTACGTGTATCTCAAATCTAGAACCATGGTACACAATCAAAACCTCTTAAGACTAATCCTAACACACTGGAGGTATATTACCTTGTCACTCTTTTCCTTGAATAAGAAACATATATAGTGCCTCTTCAAAAAGAAACATATATATAGTGAAATTCAATCCGTAGCCAATAATGCCGCACGCACTAAATCTTCTGCCTAATAATTTAGCATATGCTTTGTTTGGCCTCATAAAGCCTTGGACGTGATTATATTTAAAGTGATACTCATAGCAATGTTGGATTTATATTTAAATACACTAACATTAATTTCTGCATTAAATTCAACATATATCAAAACATTACACTAAAAATAGCTTATGCAATGGAGACGTAAGTATATCTTAGACAAGAAATAAAAAAAACACGGTTAGTTGTGAACGGAGTGTCCAACTCCAGGGCTATGGCCAGGTGCTGTGGGCCTGAAATTATCAACGTCGTGACCCGGAGCCGGCGGCGACCCACCAACCGCTTCGGTGGGTGGCGTTGGCGGAGACAGGTCTGTGATTGCGGCGGCATCTGTTGTTGAAAAAATGCCAATATGCATTTTATGTTGCATTATTTCATCAGACTTCAGATACCTTATTCCCTCAATGGACTGAAACCCTTGACAGAATATTATCAATGCAAGCAAAATCAGAGAGAAAAAGGACTTGTTTTGACGCATATTGGGGGGATAATAATCAAGTAATAGTTAGTAAGCAGTGTTGAACTAGAATTTTCTTAGCAAGCAAGTGGGAGTTCAGTTGTGTTGGTTTGACATTTTAATAGATCCCATGAGGGGGTTTTTATAGAGCTCAAGCACAAGGAATAGCGCGCGGGGTGCCTACACGTGTCGTCTCCTAAGTAGTGAGAAGTTTTTGTAACGGGTATATAATATTCAGAAAGAAAATAAAAAATATATATAATATGACATGATAAAAAAAATATACATTTTTGCAATTCTTTATTATATCATCATACAATGTTATTAAACTTAGTCAAAAACTAAATTTTTAAAAAAGTTAATTAATCAAAATATTTCTTTTGCTATTTTATTTAAATTTCTTGAGTTTTTTTATTCCGTCATACAATTTATTTTTCTCCAAAACCCATTTCCACAGCAAAAAGTAAAAATTTTATATAAATATCATCATCATTCCATTAAACAAATGCGCCTTTTAGTGGCCCGTTTAGCCTGTCATATGCATGTCTCATGCTAATTAAATGGCGGCTATGCATTTTTGCACCGTCTACTTTACAATTCAACAGAAATTCACATGACCTAGCAATTCTTGTTGGATATTCAAGGTGTTTAAGGTTGTAATGAGTAATGTATGTATAAGGGACCACAGCTGTAAAATACTAGTTGAAGCATCATAATGTATGAATCGTGCAGGTATGGTGTCAGCTTTAATTTCTTATAATAATATGGTTATGGCAAGTTGGGATGGCACCGGCAGTGAGGTTCACTTCGCTATTGCTGCAGTATAATGCTATTTTATTTACTATATTGTAATAGTTGACAAAAATGTTTTTTTAATCAATACTGTATTATGTCTGTTCATACTTGTTTTGGAATAACAGTATGTATTTTTTATTAGAGAAGGTTTATTATATGAAAAACATAAGGGTCGTTTATGCTTTTTAAAGTAATTGAAACTTTTAATATGATTTATGTAATGCACTTCAATCAGTGCCCATAAACATATGTTTAGCACTAATAAATTTATAATCTTTAATATAAAATTTATAACCATTCCCCATCATTATAAAATTAATTATAAAGTCACAAACAGTTAAAAAAAGACGATATATTTTTATTAACAGTTATAAAATTTAAAATTATTAAGTTTATATTAAACAATACAAACTCATAAAAATTGAGCTATGTTATCAAGTTTTGTCTTTATCAAGTTTTAGACAACACATTTAAAAAGAAAAATATGTAAAATAACTTATTTATTCGCGTTTTAGGTTTAGAAATGAAATTTGGAATTGATAACAATTATTTTGTTGATAATATTTTTTCTAAATTATAAATATTATTCAAATGTTAAAATTCTTCTTATAAATATTTAATACAATTATATATTTAAAATATAAATTTTAAATGATTAATTAAATTAAAAAAATTTCATATAAGTGAATGTATGTGTTATAATAAAACAATAATTATTATCAAAACAAAGTTTTTTGTCTAATTTTCTAACCTACCGATAAGTAAAACTTATTAACCTAAGCGGCCCATCCATAGGTACTATTGTATTATCAAGCTAAAAACGAAAACCAAATTCTAATAATAGGACTAATATTTTGACGAAGAAAAAAAATTTAAAAAAATACAAATTAATTTTCATAGAAATTTATAAATAATGAAGTGAAAAAGTTCGTTCCCTTCAGTCAATTATTCTTTTATTTTTAATTCATTTACTTTTTAAGGATAACTTTTTGTTACGTATTCATAATCATATTGTATAAAAGCTTTCGTATCAAATAGTGTTATTGTTTTATGAAATAAGAAAAGTTGAAGCTATCTTGATGATTCTATTATTTAATTTAGATTAATTACATTTTGTCACTCTGTATTATCAATTTATAAAACTGATTGGGTATATTCTTCTTGATTAAATAAATGAGATTTATTAACGGGGCAAATGGCTTTTAAAAGGAGATTTGAATTAATTATGTCAAAAGTAATGGTGCTGTGTCTTCTATTGTAACTTTTTTTGAAAAGTTTCTTACGAGGTATCATATTTATTCGAATCTATGATATTATTAGTAAAACTTGGTTTATTGGTGTTTTCGATTTCTTATCACTTAGGTTTTGTTTAAAAATTTAGAGGAATAAAAAATTTAAAAGATAAAAGAGCAAAAAGGGCGTTAAACTTTGTTTAAATGTTAAAAATAAAATAACTCGAAAATTTTACAGGACATTTAAAAATATCAAACGAATCGAACTTTCAAAAGCGTTTATTTTACAAACGTACAGAATCAATTCCTTCCAGCATGAAATACGTGCATTTGAATACAATGACAAAATCTGTCATTATTAAAATTTATGTGTCTGTGTGTGTGTTTTATCGAAGTTACTTCTATCTAATTTTAGAACAAATAAGACGTAAGCCCTTGTAGGAATGACCACTTTTTTTTTTCAATGTTGAAAGGACAAACTATTTTTTAAAAACATTTGTAAAGGTTATTGAAACTTGATTTAATAATATACCGTTCATATTCGTAGATTCCTAAAAAAAATATTTCTTTTTACATCGTTAATCTTATTTAAATTTAAAAAAGGTTAATATTAATTTTAATGTAAATCGATCATAAGTGGCTATGAAATTGCAATTACAATACTCACTATATGCATACAATTTTCATATATCTATTTAGTACAATGTTTCGCGTTTTACTTTTTTATGTTTATTTTTAATGTTTGTTGTTTCACTGCTCTGCGGACAGTGGGTCTCTCCTTAGGATTTTCACTTAGAAAAGTAAACTTTCCAACTAGATTGCAACTTGGAGGTGAATATTTTCCAGCGTCATGGTTAATAGATTTTGTGCTGTAGTTGCAACTTGCTTTTGCTGTTAATGCAGCTTTTTGCCGTAGGCACATCGAATACCAATGTAATGTAGCCTCACTTTTGTGGAGGCTACAACTGAATTTATTTTAAGCTTCACTTTACTTCCGCTCGTGTTTTATTATTGTCGCTTTAATTTAAACAGTGTCAGTAAATGATTTTTAAATTTGTAAAATAATAAAAAGATGCACTGAGACTCCTTTGGCAAGTAACTCACCTGAACCTTTTTTATTATAAAATCCTGCTAATGAATATAGTTAAGGTACACGTTAGAGAATTGATAATAAAAATAGTGGGGAAAACTATAAAGGGTAACCAAGATCCGTATTGGGTTGCTTAGAGGCCCACACATAGCTCTTACCTCCTCCTTTGTGGGAGAGTGAATCTCCCCAACGTTGTAGGATACTAGGATCCTATGTAGTATTGCATCTTTGTTTGGGAGCATTATTGCTGGGCCTTGTTTGTTGTTTTGGGCTTCTCTGGACTGCCAGTTCAAAAATAACTCATACTGTTGGAAAAAAATTTCTTTAATTTTTGATGCACCGTGACCATAAGAAGAAGCTAAGACAATTACTCGGTAGCCATATTGTTCAATTGTTTTCTGGCAGGCGCAAGTAATTACCGTGAAGTATTCAAGAACATATTTTAATCAATTAGGAGACAGATAAATATATATAAACAACAAAAAGTTATTTCAAGACAGAAATTTTACTTCTGTATATTTTACAAAACCTACTTCATTACCTTAAAACGTTTTTCCTTATAGTTATCTAAAACTATGGGTTAAAAACAAACAAAATCACAGAAGAGTAAAACAAATGCTCAACTTTACTTAAATTAATTAGCTGGTAGTGACATATACATGATCGCTAAGGAAATAAAAATAAAAGGGACTACAAACGAAAAAAAGGCATTCATTTCATCAATGGTGTTAGTTGATTAGGAGAGAAATCAATGCACTAGAACACCGAGAAAGTGTTCAAGAACCAAAACCAAAATCAAAACCAAAACTTTCAAACTCAGGCTTTCCTGAAGTAAAAGATCAGTGAAGTTGGTATTTACACCTTCTCCAACAGTTAGAAGAGAATACACCTAGTAGTCAGCTTCAAGGAAACTCTCATAAACGGTTCCTTTCAGCGTCTTGTTAACGTCATCCCAGTTCTGAATGTGATCTGACAATGGTCCTCTATGTATCTTAACCTGACGGCTCGTTAACTCCATCTGTGGCAATCCTAAAAACTCTTGCACTTCTTTTAGCTTCTGCATGAAACACAAACAGTGAATCCAATAATGAAATCAAAAGTGAAAAACTAAGAACTTTACCCTTAAAAGTGAGTGCATGAAGATTGAGTTGGACTTGAATATGTGTTAATAAAATTAAAGTTTCTTCCGATATTATCATATTTTGCAACAGCAATGCAGCTAAACTCAATATGAAACTTTCTTGCAACCTTTTAAATGATTTAGGAGTTTATGCTAAGGCCCTTACAGTGTGATTTCTCATAAGATCCTCGTAGTACAAGATCATATGCCGGGTGCTGTTGAAGTATTCTAAAGCCTTTGCAGCTCTCATCTCCATATCCTTCAAGTCGTCCAGCAATGATGTTGAATTTATGAAGGGCTTGTATTTTGAAAGAATATCAGCCTGAAAGAAACCAAACGTGAGCTTCATTCCATGACTATAGAAATCAATGGAGAGACGGATGAAGAGACCTCTTCTGGTGAGTGTACATGAGACTTGTGTGTTCCATTCAATAGCTTAGCATAACGATCATAGGAATTGGCTAGAATTGATACCATCCTGCGGAGTAAATTTCTCCGGAAAAGAAATATGACAGAAACTCTTCTACGGTTGAAGTATTCTGCTATTTCCTTATGGTGTTCCATTAACCCCTGCATAATCCAGACAATGTATTGATTCTTCTGTAACTAGCTCATAATACTAAGTCAGATCAACCATCAACATAAACTTTATGGAAGTAAACAGAGTGATAGAGAGAGGGGAGAAAGAGTAGGTAAATGAGAGGTATACAGCATATGTCGAATTCCATCAATTTAATAGGCAAAGAGAATTCCAGTCCAGAATCCTATCACTAAAGGTGACTACTTCAACATTTGTTTCCTGATCCCAAAGGTACTGCAGAAGTTCATTTTAAGCACAAGATGACTATATGTCAAAGAAATAAGTAAAGCAAAACCAATCTGTCAGACCGGCATCTTTGAATTTTAGAACTTATGATACATAACTGCTATATCTTAACCCTAAATATTCTTAATACTATTTCTTGAAACTACCAAAATTCTTGGGAGAGACATAGGAGAATGTAACACTGACACTTTGTTTGGAAGTTTGGAGATTGAGGGAAGGAAGGAAATATTTTGAAGAGTAAAGGAGATTGCAGACAGACTAAACATCTCCTATGTTTGGATGTTAATTTTACTACAACCCCTGGAAATTTTAAAATTTCATGTGAGAGCTGTTTTGGAGTGCTTATAAAATTCCCTTACTCCTTCCCCTCCATTTTTATTAACTCCAAAATCACTGCCAAATGAATCCCCCTTCTCTGTCTTTTATTCCTCAAACATAGATAACAAAAGCATAAGCTCAAGTGAACTTGATATTCAGACTTTAGGCGTTAAGTTTAAACTGACAACAAGGTAGTACACTACATAGTATTTTGTGATTGGCATGTGATACTCTAATGTAGATTTGAGGTGAGGGGGGAAAAACTTTGGAATGGTTTTGTGAAAACTCTAGATAAACTTAAAGGCTAATACATGTTCATCTGCAGAAACTAACACACACAACAGCATAAACCTACCAAATCACTATAATCAACCCAAGATTCGTAACAGTCTCTTCAGAAAAAAAAGCCACAACTAGATTAGCAATAATTCCAGTGAATGTGTGGGAGTGTTGAGTACACTACTCTAAAAAGCTTTAACAAATCGAACTTGTACCTGATTAAGCATCCACTTCAAGCCAGTTGCAGCAGAGCACTCATTCTTGGAAGCACTATTGAACCAGTCCAAATTGTAAACTTTATCTAAAGTCTGTAACATTGAAGAAACATTTTGCCTTCTCTCTCTAATGCTAAATATCTCCCCATTTGAGCTTACATTAACGTGGCTATTCAAAAGGGTCTCGAACCACCCACTACCTGATCTCTGATTTGACAATATGGCAAAGAATAGTACAGGATTATGAGCACACTCGTTCCTGGCAAAGAGCAAAGCAATCAATTAGTGGCTAATTAAAGCCAACAGCTAATGATTACCATAAACTTCCCATTACCTGCTAAAGGATGTTGGTTTGGGATAATGTAGTAGGTGAGGAGTATTCACTAGTTTCTGTCTAGTCTGAGAAGGCTTGTTAATGACTTTCACGTCCACAAATGTAGTACTTGCTTGGGTGCTTATCTGCTTTAGACATACAGAGAAGATAAAAATGCCACAAACCATTGAAAACATTACTACTGCTGTCCTTAACAACATTGGTGATTTCTTTGGAGGCTTTATAACAAGAATATCCTGCGATCACATGTGAGGAGAAAGTTACTAGAATGCCAGTAACGAGACAACTTTCATTGCAAGGAAGGAAGTCAAAATCGGTAAACTCATACAGCCTTCCCCTTCCCCAAATTCCAGAAATAGGACATTCACATTAACAAATTATCAAATTGGTGTTAAACCTAATACCAAATATATAGATTTTTTCCCAAAAAAAAAAAAAGAAAAAGAAAAAAATGTTAATCCGGGCTTTATTCTAAATTGAAATTAAAAAAAAAACACAACAAAAGAAAAAAATATAAAGGCATGAAGGCTAGACCATTAAAGGGTTCGAATAATGAGCCCCAAATTCAGATAATAATAACCCAGATCGAAACATGCAAATCGTTTAAAGGGTTCATCTTTAAACCCATATCAGAGTTAAAGCACCAAAATTTGAGGACAAAGTACCGATAAACCCTCAAAATCAACTTTTTTTTAAGTAAAAGAACGAAAATCCCTTAAATATGAAACAAAGTTGAAACGTTTCAGCAAAATATTACAGAGTAGCAGCTTAGAATAATTGCAAAATAAGGGAAGCACATTGTCTCAGATAACAAATAGGAAGTAGGAAGTACCTTGTAGACGAAACACATGTCTTCTACCATTGCTGTTCTAGAGAGGGAGAGAAAGAGAGAGAGAGAGGAAGAGGGAGAGCGAGAGCGAGAGGTGAGAAAAAGGGGTCAGCTTTTGGAGCTTGAACACCTGAGAGCGCCAACCCCAGATGGTATTCAAAGCCCTAAAGCCAACCCAATCCAAACTCCAAATGAGACGAACAATACGAGAAGAACAACACCACCAACAAGAACAGAGTGCTCTCTTCCCTATGCTCCTTGTCTTGTTACTTGTTTCTTCTCTTTTCTCAAAATATACTTTTACTTAACCTTCTTCTTTTTTGTTTGTTTTTTACTAATATTGTTATTGTTGTTAAGATGAAACTAATTTGCCGCGTGTAACGGCGATTTTTGTAATCTGCAAATGCAGGGTGGAGACCCACAAAGCAAAACGAGGCGTGTGATGGAGAGGAGTGACAAAAATAAAAGAAAGGAAAAAAGCTACTCCTACTTGCTTACTTGGACCAGATCTTTTGACTTTGCCTTAGTGACAATGATTTCTTAACCAATTTTAGATAAAGTTATTTGTTTCCCCATTCAATCTTTAGCTTTGGATTCTAACTTTGTTGGTGTTTTGATCAAAATTATATTATTTAAACAATTATTTTTCAAAAGAATATTAAAAAATAAATTACTTGTAAATGATGAATTTTGACAATTTAATAGTTGACATGGTTAAAAATATGTTAAGCCCATGTAATTCTTTGCAAGACGTCACCTAGATTATCATTATTCTTGATAAAAAATAAAAAAAAAGGACTATACTTTTGTCATTATATAATTTTTTTGTTTATCTTTTATAAGAACTCGTAAATCATTAATTATTTTCAAAAATCATAGGAACCTAGTGATAAATAAGTGACAAATGAGTGAGAGGCTTAAGGCTTCGGAAAGGTAGTGACAGAGAATAGAGTAGATTAATGTAAAATAGTAAGAGTATGCTAATATCATTTTTTTTAACACAATTTTTATAATATATACTTTATAATTAGTTAAATTTTATTAAAATTATAAAGGTTACGCAAAGAAAATTTCTCATTTTTAAATTAATATTTTTTATATTTTATTAATTTTCAATAAATTTTAGCGTATTTTGAAAAATATAAGTATAGAAACTATTTTGTTAGCCTTCCTCAAATGGGAATTATCCTGTACTTACGTTACCATGTAGACGCTATTTTAGCGAAAATGCTTATAATATTAGAAATGAATAGAAAAAGACATTTAAAACTCAAGTTCGGTAGTTATTAGAAATGTCAATAACAATTACCACTAAAAGTAACACCATTTTCAATAGAGTTATAATAGTTTTACAAAAAAAACACACTCTAACAATTTTTATCCTTCCTTGTCAATATTTCTACATAAATATTTATAATAGAACGCAGAATAAAAATATAAAAGATTTTCTAAAACTAAAAGAGTCTCTTATATTCTAAAGACATTAGATATATTTTAACCTAGCTATTTAATATTTAGAAGTTTAAAAGAGAAGATGACAAATCTATAATAATGAATGCACGTAAGGAGTAAATGACGGATGTGGTCGAAAATACCCCACCCAACTGCACTGGTTGTGACTTGTCAGATTCCATGAATTATAAGCGTCTTATTATGGGGAAGAAGTGAACAGATGAAGAATTGGATATGAGAATGAGATAAACTAAGCTCTATAGTCTATATATGGCTATTGGCTTCATTCCTTAAAACGGAGACACACGTAACAAAGAGGTCATTGCATGATAGATACCCCACAAAAAGGACCTAAAATGTGACCACTAAGCTCTAACTCAGTGCCGTCGTTGGGAAGAGACGACTCATTTTGAAACTCATAATAACGTCAGATAGATAAAATTATGGACCAGTGGAAACGTGAGTAATTAACTTTTTATAGCAATAGGTTTTTTTACCGTGGTTATAAATAGATAAAATTTGATTTTTTAATTTTGTTCTCTAGCTCTTTTTTTTTTTTTTACTTTTATCTTTAAATTTTATTTTTTTAAGATAAAATTCAATTTTTCAATTCTGTTTTTAACTTTTTTTTTTATCTTTGAATTTTTTTTAAGTTAATTATTTCTCTTGACTCCATTACATAATGTAACATATATATACACTAGGCGACGATAAAATAATTTTAGCGCTGTTTATTTAATTAAATTTAAACTTTCTTGTTTAAAAAATAGTAAATTTTTTTTTTATGTTTATTTTCTCACTTCTTTCTCATCAACCTTAACTTTATCTCCTTCTCTCATAGTTCTTTTTTTTCTTTACACTTTTTTCTCTCATTTTTTCTAACAGTTCTCTCCTTTCTCTTAACTCACTAACTTTATCTCTTAGTTAATTTTGTAGAAATTAGAGAAAATTAAATATTAATTTCTTTTGGAACTATTTAACTAACAGAATTTTATTAACTAAAATTAAATAATAATTTATTTTTTTCTTGTTACATACTCACATATTATAACATTTTCATTGTTTCTTCCATTACTAGTTTAATATTATTTTTATTATTTGAACTTGTAAAATTTTATTGAGTTTCATTTTTGGAAAAATAAAAATGAGGTAAATGATTTCTAATGAAAAAGTTATTTAGCAATGAGCTTTTTCTATTAGATTCAAGGACTCATGTGTCTATTTTTAAATGTTTTAGTTGAACTTGTTTTTGTAGAGGGAGTAATGTATAAAACTTGATTTTAAATTTTAAAACTAGTTTAAAATTAATTTTAAAAAATTATAATTAGATTTTAAACAAAGTTAAATTAATTCTGTATCATATACATTGATCATCTCATTACATTTATTTTAAATAACATTAGCCTGTATAACCCTTGAATGCCTTCCTCATGTGCAATTCTCCTTAATGCGAATAGCGTGCTCTTATATGGTACAACACTAGGTTTCATTCCTTGCATTAAAAAGGGCAACAAACATAGTGTCTCACATGAACACTGATAAGTGATACTAAGGTAAAAAAAAAATCCTCTAATTCTATTGTCTCTTGTGGATGAGTGAGCTTCGGGAAGGAAAAAGAAAGGAAAAGGAAAACTTCACTATTTTTTAATAATTTTTTAAAAGAAGTTTAGGTTGAATAAAATAAACGGTGTTAAAATTATCTCAGTCACTTAGAATATCTCTATTAAGTTATGTAATACAGTTAATGAAAAGAATTAACTTGAGAAAAAAATTAAAGACAAAAATGAAAATGTTAAAGGATAAAATTAAATTTTATCTTAAAATTAAGAGATGGAAAGACTAATTTTATTCTAAAAATATATATTAAAAAATATTACATATTTTAAATTAATATGGAAGGTAAATATAATTTTTTTATAATTTTGAAACAATATATATTTTATTTTAATTTTTTAATATGTATTATTAGACACACATTCAGAAAATAATACACAATTGATTATTTTTTGATTATTTCTAAAACATGTTTGTTTATAAATTTTAACACTACATTTATTGATACTCATATTTTTAAGAAATAGTTTAATGTATTATTCTTTTTTCAGAATGATTACGGCTTATAAAGTTTTAATGTATTTTAAACTAGGTATTGCTTTTAAAAAGTTAAAAAATGTTTTTTTTTTTAATTTGCTTGCTTATAATGATTTTGTTTTTTTGCACTGAATAAAATAAAAAAATCTAATTTTTTATGGAAATTAAATAATATTATCTAGTAAAAAATTGTTCTTAAAATTGAAAACATTGAATGAATATTAATTTTGGTATAAATCTTTAATTTTTGTATGAATTTATTATTTTTTCAAAAAAAGAAAAATATAAAATCAAATATGTTTTATCTTTTGAAATATTACATGTATTTTAAAAATGTTACAATGAAAAATTAGATCAAAATAATGTTTTCCTTTTATAGAAAGAAGGGTGCAAAATTTAGAGGCATTTAACAATTACAAAAAAGATGAATTAATAATTAACAGCATTAAGTAAAGTAGAATTCCCATTCTTTTCCAGAAGAGATGTTCATAATGCGTTTTCATCATTAATCATTATATCCTTTTTGGAGAAAAGGCTTATTTAATAATCATAGATACTGCTCGCATGGCACAGCAAATCATACGCGTTGCACCAACTACGGTTAAATTGTTGGATTAGAAAGACTCAGTACTTGTGTTACAACTCAGTCAACTTTTAAAATAACATCAAAACATTTTTAATAAGTATATATTATATATATTAAGATTTTTTTATACTATAAAATTTTTACGCTCAATCTTTTATTTAACTTAAATTTAATGAATATTATATATATATATATATATAAATTATAAATTATAAGTGTTCAAAAATATACCTAAGTCATTTTAAATGGTTAAAATAAAAAAGTATAGTTTATAATTTAATTCAATCATCGTATTTAAAATTGAATTATAAACACATAATTTTATTATTTTTATTTTATTATCAAGTAAATTTTAATTTAAACTATAATTTATCAAATGTATATATATATATATATATATATATATATATATATTAAAAATAAGATAAATTTGATATATATTTTTTAACTTAAATTAGGTTATGACGATTAAATTCAACCATCGAAACCTTTTTAAAGATTTAATATTTTTTAAAATCACAACTATCCTCTAAAGATAAGGCAAAACTTTTTGAGCTAGCACTGTTATATATCATATTTAATTTAATAATTTATTTATTTAAATACAAAAATAGTTATCCAAATAAGTTATGTAATAATTTTAGACTATATTCATACTTTAATTAGTAAAACTTTATTTATGTATCAATCAGAATTTTTAAGTTATGTTTCTTAAAAAAACAAACAAAAATCCAAACCCTAAGATATCAATTCAAATAGGTTTACTTTAATATTATTCATAAATAAATTTAAACAGGGCTATAAATTTTATTTGTAATCAGCTTAATTTTTTTACTTTAAATTCAATTCGAAACAAATTGTGAGCACCCTTACTAGATTTTTTGAAAAATTACTCATAATCTGAGTGTTAATTAAATAAATTCAGCCTTATCATTTTTAACTGAGTTTAATTTGGTTTTAAATTGATTAATGACCGATCCAAAATTGAATTCATTTTTTATTTGGACGAAATATATATTTCAAATATTATGCATAATTTAATTATAAAATTAAGACATTTTAGTTAGTATGCTATCTGATAGTTTTGATAAAACTATATTGAACCCTAACAAACTAGGGTTTCACAAGATTTGAAGCGATTTTTTCAATCCTTTGAACGTAACTCTTACCCCCTTTGAGTTTGCATTTCTTTTTCTTTATAAATTTGGGAAAGTGTTATATATATATTTTTTAATGGCTATAATTTTTTTAATATCTAAAAAATTAAATAATATTTATATATTTTTAAATAAACAATTAATTCTATTATATATTAATATAAAATTAACAGTAATTATTTTACATGTAAGATTACAGAATGCTTTTTTAATTTACAAGCTAATGTAGAATTTTTTTTTGGCGCACCACTTAGAATGGGTCAATCGGGCCATTCTTTCCTTATAATGTGGATACATTTAAATAATCAATTTAAAGCCCAGTCCTTATCGCCTAACAAGTCGAACAGCCAAGCTTGTGGACTCTTTTCGTTGACCTTTATTATTCTGAACCTTCGGTCAAAGAGTAAAAACAATGCCAAGTTCGTAGTTTATGTAATTTTGACTTTAAAATAAAATGTTTTATAATCTTATTAAAATTATTAGATTTAAAAAATACATAAAATATTTTAAGGATGACCTTGTGCACATTCAAAGTCTACACGAGTTTAATATTTCCTATGATGCATCCGTTTGAATTAAAGTCGGGCAAAATTTTGAATCATTAAGTTTAATTAATTAAAACATATGCAAATATTTATTTGAATTGCACATTTTATTAAAAAAACAAAAAAAATTAAAATTTCAACTTTTAAACAAACAAACAGCCAAATCTTATAAAATGCCAACAACTCCTCAATTTTTTGAAAAAATGTCCCTTTCGTAATAATACCCTCCATTGGAATTACATAGTCACGATGACGTGACTTCGTTATCTTATGTTATTGAATATGTGAACGATGGCAATCGCAAATGTTTTTTTTTTAATCCTTGGAGTGAGTTAAATAAAACACTCTGCAGCTATCATGATTTGGCTATAAGAGGCCATAATTAATTATCCTTTATCTTAATTAGTTTCTTAATCAGATAAAAATATTTTTATATTAGTCTAAGTCTAAAAACTCTTATATTAACTTTTTATTTAATAATCAATCAGTAAAGTAATTAAATAAAAATTATAAATTAAATAAAAAACTTAAATTGAGTTATAAAAAAAATCAGTTTATTCTTAAATAGTCAAGTTTATAACACAAAACTGTTGATCTAACTTGTACAACTGCAACAAGCACCATCGTTGCTCTCGAATTTATTTAACCAATGTCTTCATATACATACATGCTGCGCATTATCTCTATGGAGTGTGAGGATTATCGTCCAAGACTGAATCAAAGAAAAAAAAAATTGAATCTTCATTATCGTAATGTAATGTAGGGATTTCATTAATCAAGTGGAATATCTACATGGTCACGTTGCAATATTATATGTGGGCACTTGTCACAGCATATGGTTGACATACACGATTGCACCCTCAAGGGTATTAACAATGTACTCTTTAATGCATTTTTATTATTAGTTAATTTTCTTAAAATTATAAAAGTATGATAAAAAAATATTAATTAGTTTAAGAATAAAAAAGTGAGATTTATATAATTTTATTAAATTTTAGCTAATAACCAAGTAGCTATAGTTAAGTTATAACAAATGCCAATAATTGGTGGAAGGGCAGGTTTTGCTCTACCTGCCTCTACTCTCGCTAAGAATCAGGGAAGGTTCAGGGTTTGATATGAGCAAGTGAGGATGAAAAAACTGAACACATTATCATTTCACACACTAATTTATTCTTAATTCAATTGATTATATTTTTAGTGTGTTATAATAATATTTTTCGTAAATAATTTTAAGTAATATTTTAAGGATGTATACTGTTTTTTTCATCTTGAATTAGGAGTGTTCAAAACTGAATTTAAATAATTTTAAATTATTAAACTGATAAAAATATAAAAAATGAACAAATTGTTAACAACAAAACCCCTAGTTAGTAAAAGTTACAATTTGTACTTGGGTTGGTTCAATTTTTAGTTTTTATGTGCAAATTAATAAAAAAAAAACTGAATCTTAAGCATACTAAACTAAAATTACTTTCCTTGCTATTTCTCAAATATACCATACCTTAAAAGTTGGTATATTGTTAAGATTGTTACCTTTGTGCATAAAATATGAATCTTAATTTTGAAATAAAAACATTCTTAAGAATGGTCTTAAACATGTAGTTTTCAGGAGTTATTTTTCTTTGTCGACTTTTTTCTGATTTAATATCTACTTTTTTATGATTAATTTTAAGTTAAGTTTTAATTTTTCATAATTTTTTTAATTTAAAGTTTTTTATCTCTTTTCAAATAGATAAAAATTAAATTATTTTTTTACGATGAAATTAAATAATTCTATTTTAAAATTAATTTAAATCGAAATACAGAAACACGTGATATTAAACTTAAAGTTAATGTTGAAAATGTCATCTTCTAGTAACACTCATAATTAAATTTAGCAGTGGGATATATATAAAAACAATATGACCGGTTAACTCTGGTTCCACAATTTTATATTTTATTTTTTATCAATTCTAGTTTCACATCGGTAGTTATGCTAATCAAACTACCTTATTATTTTTTATTTATGACTTTATATTTGACAGATAAGTGTATATATATATAATGCTTGTGTTAATTATACTCAACACTATTAAGCAATATAAAAATGAGCATAATTTATATCGGCATAATTTGATCTTAATCATATATTAAATATTTATTTTCATAGGAAAATTACAAATTTATTGTTGATAAGTAAATTTATAAATGAAAATTACAAATATTTTTTAAACTCACAAATGTATTAAAATCAGATTCTATACAAAGTAACGAATGAAAGGGTGATGCTTCTGAGCGAACAAGTCTGAATGGCCCGTTGACCCGGGCAATAAGATAAACAACCTTTTTTTTTTCAAATGATAACAAGTAGGGAAATTTGAAGAACTCGTATTTATTACAATTTTATTAAAAATGATTTATTTTTATTCTATGTGATACGTACATGGTTATTATGTTATTCTATAATTTCTCTATTAGTTGTTTTTGAATTTTTATTTATTTTCATATAAATTGTTTTTGTACTATTTGGGCATCTTTTTTTTTTTTCTTTCTTTAGCATCACCTTATACATGTATTATTTTTTCTCTCCCTCTTTCATTTTTATCTCTCTATTTCCTTTCAAGGGATCCCTTCAAGGAGCATACCATCTTTTTATACTAAAACAAAACAAGTAATGTTGAAATATTTTTTTGATGTTGGTGAGATTTCTGAAAGAGACATTTCTTGTTTATTACTACTACAAGCAATTTCAACAATAGTTTCCAGAGTTTTAGACGTTGTAAACTGAGGTGGAGATATTATAAATTAAGGGAGCATTCCACCATATAAGTTATAAGAAATATGTTTAATAACCAATGAAGCAACAACTAGCTGTGAATGGGTGTAATGGATAAGGTGTATATAATTGTATAATAGAAACACAGACTTCGTCTAGCTAGAGAGATGAGAAAGTTATCGGTTTTTTCATTTGGCTAAACTCTTAGGTTATGTTTGTACAAGAGAATTCAAAATTAATATAATTTATATATTTGAATAATAAAAAATAATTTTGAAATATTATTAAATTTTAATTAGATAATTTGTATATCAAATAAAAATAATTTTAATAATTTTTTTAAAAAGAATTTAAAAATCTTTCCATCATTCTTAAATTTTTTTTTATATATCTTTCATAACTACTCTCATACTTAACTTTTATTCTAAGCATCTCTCATTATTATTATTTTTAGTTTTTAAAATTTTCCATTCAAGCATAATCTTAAATCCCACGTCAACAACATTTTTCATCATTAATTTGATGCTAATTGTTTTTTTTTTCATCAATATTAATTATTATTATCAACATTTTAACTAGTCTTATTATGGTTTCACATAAATATATAAGTTTTTCTAGAATAAACTGATCTGGATAATATTATGGCCCAATGATTATTAAACTGAAAAACGAAGTTATACAAAAAAAAAAAAATTTGAAGTAAAACCTAGTAAATGACGAAGTTTTTTAATTGCCACTATCCCATGGCTTGCGTGAAATATATGTATTCAATTAAACACCATTTGTCTGGTTTTAATTTTTATTAGGTTATAGCTCAATTTTTTTGGTTATAATCAAAATCAACACCGAAATGCTAGACAAGATACAGCACTGAAAATTATATATAGTATACGTATAGTCTTGTGGGTGCCTCTGCCTCCATCCATATATACTCATCCCTTGATAATCATTTTAATTTGTTGATTTTAATTAGTTTTCATTCAGCAATGGAAAATCCACCTGCTTCTGGAATTCTGGCTCCAATACATGATGATTTAATTACGGTTCTTAGCATTGATGGTGGGGGCATTCGAGGAATCATTCCTGGTGTTATTCTTGCCTACCTTGAGTCTCAACTTCAGGTTGATGTATATGCAAGCAAAAATTGCACTCAGCACTCACATATTCTTAAAATGGATTCTAATGATTTTATTTCAGTTATTTAAACGTTTGAAAATTGAAATATTATGCGATACTGTATATAATTATTTTTATTTATCATTTAACTTTTATCTCTTTTTGTACATATTTATGTTTAAAATATACCCAAAAAGTAATAAATGGGACAACTTAAAGTTATTTAAAAAACATTTATTCTAATGATTTTGGAGGTGTATGTTTGTAGGAGTTAGATGGTGAGGATGCAAGGCTTGTAGATTACTTTGATGTAATTGCGGGGACAAGTACAGGGGGTCTCGTTGCTTCCATGTTAGCAGCTCCCAGTCCAAAGGCCAAAAATCGCCCTTTATTTGCTGCTAATGAAATTGTGCCGTTTTACCTACAAAACTCTTCACAAATATTTCCCCAGTCAAGGTCTATAATATATTACGTACTAATAATACTATCGTCACATAGCCCATATATATATATAAATATGATTACTATGCTTTTTATACACATTTCTTATGTGTAGTGCAAGTATCTAGAACTAACCAATTACATGGTATGTGTGTATCTTTTGGTTACTCTTGAATTTCACGCGCAGGGGATTATTAGCTCCTGTCATAAACATAGGGAAAGCTTTGATAGGACCTAAGTATGACGGGAAGTATCTCCATGAGGCGATTAGAAAGAGGTTAGGGGACACCATGTTACACCAAACCTTGACCAACGTTGTTATTCCGACGTTTGACATCAAGAATCTTCAACCTACCATCTTTTCCTCGTATCAGGTAGGTCATTAATTCTTTTATAGAGGTCTTAACTTCTTTTTTTATTATTATTATTCGATCTATATGGAATCATGATGATTAAGAAAATTTTTCTACGCTTGTGACTGGTCATTAAAATTGTTAATTTAATCATCTTATGCAGATAGCAATGGAACCAGCTTTAGATGTACCACTGTCAGATATTTGCATAGCCACTTCGGCTGCTCCAACTTATCTTCCGGGTCATTATTTTACAAAACAAGACGAACAAGGGAAAGTGATAAAAGAATTCAACCTTGTTGATGGTGGCGTGGCTGCTAATAATCCGGTAAGCTTCTTGACACAAGCTACTAAATTATAATTGAATAAATATTTAATTTAGTTCCTCAAATTATAGCATCAATTATTTTAATCTCTAATTTTACACAATTCTCAATTTAATTTTTAATGTTATACAATCATTTAGTCAATTTCTTTTATATAAAATGATAACAAAAAGGGACTAAAATAATTTTTTTAAAATATCAAAAATTAAAGATTAAATTAATCGATGTTTACAATTTTAAAGATTAAAATGAGTATTTATTAAATTTGTAATTTATAGTCAACCATTTGATTGGCATCAAGACTCAATTTGCGTCTTCATCTGCAGACTTTGGTTGCAATAAGAGAAGTGACCAAGCAACTCATAAGGAACCCAAATAGGAGCAGTGTTAGCCCTCTGGACTATGATCGTTTTCTGGTTCTCTCTTTAGGTACAGGAACAAACAGAAGCGAACACAAATACGACGCTAAGATGGTGTCCAAATGGGGAATTTTCAGTTGGCTATACAACTCTGGATCAACTCCTATTATAGATTGTTTCAGTGAAGCAAGCACTGATATGGTTGACTACCACAACTGTGTGGTTTTTAGTGCGCTTCAGTCTGAAGATAACTATTTTCGAATTCAAGTAAGTTACCTTAATTATAATACTACTTTGGCACAATTTTCTTTAAATTTCGTGGCAGTACAAAATGAAATTAACCTAAAAAATATGATCACGAATAAAATCAATTATTGAATTGCTGGTATATAGTTGTTCTAAAAAAGTTGCAATTTAATTCTTTGTAGTTAAAGAACTCTTGATGTAGGGAATCTTGATGTAGCCAAGATTAGTGCTTGCATAACCATGTGGGCATTTTCTAAATCGATGACTGGTGTTTTTTTATGAAAAGAATTGCAACAAATGAACACCAGCAATAACAGTATTCATTTAACGCTTTTTTTTTTTATTACATTAGATATTCATCATATTTATCATTGAAAAAAGATATCGGTACAATAAATGTTTACATTTTTTAATAAATTAAAGAGAAATGAAAAAAATAAAAGAGAGAATGAAGAGTAAAAATGAGTGATATATATGATTGAAAAATTAATATAAATTTATTGTTGCAAAAATTTGTTATACAAATAGTATAACTCTTTATCATTAATCTCCCTTTTATTTCTCTCTCAAGAAATGGAGTATCTACTAAATATTTTCATTATATAAAGAACAACTAAATTGAAGGCATGTACAGCTTTTTTTGTGTGGTTCTATTTAATAATTGTGGTAATTAAATTGTTAAAAACATAAAATGGTTGCTTCCAACAGGATGATACATTAAAGGGAGATTTAGCATCTGTGGATGTAGCTACTAAAGAGAATTTGGATAATCTGGTAAAAGTGGGCGAGCAATTACTGAAGAAAACAGTTACACGAGTGAATTTAGACACAGGTCTATATGAACCAGTTCCGGATAGAGGCACCAATGAGGAAGAACTAAAAAGGTTATATTTATTATCTATTTACTTTATTCAGTAGCAGTTTAGCAAGGTAAAACTCCTCTAATTGACTTATTCTTGCAGGTTTGCAAAATCACTCTCAGACGTAAGAAAGCTGAGAAAATCAAATTCACAAGATGGGAAATAAACGTTATAAAATTTAAAAATACGAGGAATTGTATTTTATATATGAAAAATAATTTTTTCACACTAATATAAATTTAAAAATATTTACATTCAATGTAAACTTTTTACTTAATTTATATTTAACCGTCAGTAAAATAATAAATTATAACTTATTAAATATAAATTAAATTAAAGATTAAATTGAATATAAATTTTTTAAACTTATATTAGTGTGAAAAAATCTTCCTCTTTTTATATATATATATATATATATATATATATATATATATAAAGTTGTATTATTTCGTTGAAATAAGAAGTTACCTAGTTTTACATTGAAAAGTTATTTTGTTTCATGTAAGTTGAAAATTTGTCTTAATTCAAAGTAAGGGATGTAATGTTTTGTGTAAATAAGTAAATAAAAGGATATATCTTACGTGAAAAGATAGTAAAATACTAATCAAATGTGTATAATTAAAGTAATATGTTTGAGTATAAAATCATAAGTTAAAACAAAAGTGAGTCTTTCACATAAGATAGCAAGTGAAAAAAAAAGGTTAGAATAGATATTAATGTATGTTTAGATAATATGAAAATAGGGAGAGAGAGAAAAAATAATAGAAGGGAAGATGAAAAATTCTTTGTTTGGATGTTATGGAGGAAGGGAGAAGACGAATATCTTTTCGTGAGTCTCATAAGAAAGAAAAACCTCTCATTTTGGGGAGAAATGAATAGGAAAAGAATAGTTAAGGGAAAATGATTTTTGTTTTTAAATTTTATTTTAATTTTAAAAATATAAAAATTATAAAAGATATTAAGGAAAAATATTATAATAAAAATTAAATATTAGAATAATTTATTTTTTTTATAAATATATTTAATATAATTTTTAATCTTTTTTACTCATGTATATAAATAAGTATAAATAATTTTTTTAAAAATTTTTTCCTCTTATTTCAAATTATCTAAATATTAAGTATTTTTTCTCTCTATTTTTATTCTTTTCTCCATTATTTTTGTATTTTATCTTTCATTTAAACAAGGTCTAAGTATTTATAAAAATAATTATTCTCTGTGCATAATATATTCAATTCTCATTTTATTTTTTGAAATTATTGACAATCATTTACTTTTATTTTTTTTACACATGAGATAATTAAAAAAAATCATTTTTAAAAGGTATTATTATCATAGCTTTAGTTTTAGAAGTACAAAATATATCTTCTTAGATTCTAGATAAAAATCAAACCTTTTTTGTACTCAAATTTTATTATTAATAGAGGTGAATTACATCTAAAATAATATTATCATACCATTTAAGTATTAAGGGTTGCTTAAAAGTATTAATTAGGATTTCTCATGATGCTTTTGTATCTCAAAAGAATGGTGTTCTTGTAAGTAATACTCTAATATATATATATATATATATATATATATATATATAGAGAGAGAGAGAGAGAGAGAGAGAGAGAGAAGTATTAATTGAGTTGAATTGTTATGTGTACTTACTATAATCGTTTAAGCACAAAAGTGCATGTTGGCAATGTATCAAAAATGTTAAAAGTTATCTAGTAGAAGAGTATTAACGTAATAATTAAAGCTTGAGATCACAACTAAATATAAAATAAACATAGATAATGGTTTATTTGAGGTGAGTAGATGATCAGTAGTTGATGTGAAGTTTATAACTGTGGTTGATTATAGTAAGGTGATTTAATTGGTTCAAGTATTTGACTTTGCATAAAAATTTAATTAAAAGTAATTTTTATCATGTGAATCTATTTTTTGTATTTATTTTTCCATAAAGTCCATAAAGAAATATTTAATATTCTTGAAAAATATATATTCACTTGTATATTTAATTTATTGTTTGGTATATATATTTCTACTGTTGTGATCTATACTATTTGTAACCCTTTGGAATGCAATTAATTGTCACTCAGACTTTTTTTTTGTTTATTTTTTAAAAGAATTAGTTTTAATGTATTGACATTGTAAAAATTTTATATTTTCAACCAATTAAAAAACAATATAGATATAATTTTATATTAATTCTTACAAAAATAAATAATTCTTACTAGTATGTTTATGATTAGATGATTTTACACTGTCACTATATTTAAATTAAACTCTTTCCTAAATCAGCCTTTCTATTTATTCTAATCAAACCATTTACAGTCATTTTACACCTAACTAACATACATTCATTTATCTTCTAACCGATCTTGAGGTGTAACATCTACTTGTTTTTACTTTAATCTTGAAATATACCACTAGAAAACAAAACAAAAACGAAAGAGACATTTGATAGTTTTTAGTTTAAGGCCCATCATCGCCGCAATTGCTCAAACCACAATCTCTGTCTCTCTTTTTTTTTTTTTTACCAATAAGACCTCAAATCTTTTTTTCTGACAAAAGAAAAACCTCAAACTTTTGACTTTCCCAAGACCAAACACACTTTAGTACAATTGTTCTTCTCCGTGTTCCTTCGTTCCCTTCGCTATTCGTTTTCCCTTCAAGGCACGAACCACCACCATGCAATTTGGCATTTCCATTGTGCCTAGCCATTGCAATCCACTGTCAACTATATTGGCAATCACCAACTTGACTCCATGCGTCTGCGGTCTGTGAGTAAAGAGGTCTTCAATAGAGGATGCTCTACAGGGCAACAACTTCACCTTATAACTTTTATACATAACTAGCGTAAATATAATTTTGAGCACTCACCACCAAAATTGGTCACAGGAACTAAAGACTATATGCCGAACTGGCTATAGGAAGTTGGATGCTTTTGTGAACTGTTGCACCCATTCTCACTTTGTACACCTTAAAAGGCACCTTCTCCTCAATGCAAGTGTCTTAGTAACACCACCCTAACAGTTTTTTTTTCTTCTTGTCATTGAAGGAGAGAAATGTGAGAATTTGCTAGATTCACGATTCGAACCCTGATTATGGTGCTTACCTCTTGCTAACTCTCCCCACTGAATTATCACTACAAGCCACACGGAGCACAACCCTAACAGTTAAAGACTAAAAGGAAAAAAGAAAATCCATTTTCTTTGGGATTCAATAGAACCCAATCAACCTATGATTGGGGCAGTGCAACGGGCTACGCCTGAAATTTATGCACCACACCTGATGGCAGTCCCTGTAGCTCTTAAAAAATAAAAAAATGAAAAAATCGATAGCGGTCCTATGATAGTTGATGCTGATACACAGTGAACGCCGAGAGTGACTCACGTATTGCACCAATCATGTGCGCGAGTCTATAGCAAGTATTTCCTATCTGACAACGCCTCAACTGAATAAACTGCACTTCAAGCGAACAAAATTATATTTTCTGTCTATCCAAAATATAAACCTATGTACCTAAGTACTAATTATACACCCACAGCTATTCATTATCTAAAACCACACCCTACACCTTTTCTCCACTCCAGAAGAATAAAAAGAAATGAAAGAATATGCATCAAGTATTAACTGGAGCACGGAAGACAGTATAAATTATGTTACAAATACAATACAATAGGCAAAAGAAATAACATCAACAAAAATGAAAGAGTTCCTCCTTGTGGGACCCTCCAAGTTCCTGCAAAAGCTTCTTCATCAGGAACTGGAAGTAATCAAATCAATTGCACCTAAATAAAGTTTCTCCATGTGGGCTATCCACTAATTTAAACTTTTGCATCTGTTAGCATCGAGTCATAATCTCAGCCCCATCAGGGGTTATCAGAATGGTGTGTTCAAACTGTGCTGAAAGGCTTCCATCTTCCGTTACAACTGTCCAGTTGTCATTCCACATCACTGGATTGATGCTGCCCATAGTCAGCATTGGTTCTGTAAAATTTACCATGTGCAGGAAAGTTACACTTAGTGATATAACAAAACTTATCTAATATTTTTACACTTATGTAATTTAAAAGGATGTTATTATGTTCATGACTGACTCATAACAACGCATATATTACCATATTATGACATCTATTTCCACTGTACAGAACCCTTATCATCTTAGCTGGTTGAATAGAAATGAAATTTTACAGTTCAATTATACATAGCACCTCCAAATGTAATTGGCCTTAAAGTCAACTATGAGCCTTCATATTTGAAATTCATTCTCTATCACAATTTCTCTTATAAATCTTGTGATGAAACAAAATAGCTTAATGGAGTGGGTTAAAAATTTGGGATAGAAATCAATTTGTATGTGCTTGCAATAGAAACATCTGAGGTGGTTAAAAGTGGAATGTTGTGAGATCAATTTTGCTTTGGATCCATGATTTCTGGCCGCTTGTCCTATAACTATAATTTTTTCATCAGTATCTACATTCCCTACATTTCACTCACACCAAGAGTGAAAATTAAATTTAGTCATTTTCATTTTCTCTACCAATCCCTTAGGGAGTCAAACTCAAAAGCTTTCCAGCTCAATCCATTTTCACAGCCCTCTATTTCCTTCCACTTCAAAACATCTACCTTCTCCATAAGGCAGAGCCAAAACAGTAAGCAGCATTCAAATATTACCTATTGAAAGTTGAAATTTTATATGAATCACAAATGCCCCTTAGCTCCCTCCTCCCGAGTTGTTGTATTGCTGTGATAAATTGGTAAGTTAAACATACCTCATCTAATGAGATTCAAGAGCTATGATACATCAATACTCCAAAAACCAGGGTATACCCATTTCCTATTGTGTATCCATAAGCAGATACTTGTATCAGACAGCAGCTGCCATAGTTTGGCAATAAATGAAAATGTTCAACTACCATGTTTTTCAAGCTATGGAAGGAGGGCAATTTCAAGTGGGAATTTCAAGGGAGGGAGAAATGATGAATGATAACATTTTGCTAATTTTGAATTGTGATTTTAGGAATAAGTATGAATTATAAAATATTATTACATATTTCAATATTATGTTGAAAATTTTAGAATACCATGCAATGCCCATAATTTTTTTTAAATGTCGTACTGACATCATATCAGAATGATAATAGAACACGTTCCATGCAACATAATCAAGGGGCAAAGGCATACACAGTTTCTAACTCCACAAATGGAAAATCATAAGCATGAGAGCTCATAACAATCTGTATTGTACAAACTGAAATTACCGATCGTAAAGGTTTGATTTAGCATCATCCGTCCACCTTCATTGTTTCCTGAAGATAATAATAGTAATGGTTACAAAAAACAGTGATTAAATACAATGACAGATATATGAAACATTTTTAACATAAACACAAGAGTGACAATAAACAACCTTAGAAACACTAATAATCTCCTGACCAAACAAGTAGCTCAAAACTCAACTGCTAAATTAAGTCATATTTGCAGATAGCGGCAGAAGTTATGTGAAAGTTAACAGGGACACTCATCTGTTATTATTCTGTTTTGGCATACTGTTTTAGAGATGGAAGAAACATGAACATAAAATATAAGATTTATGAGTTAAATTGCTAAGACGGTTGTATTACTATAGTGAAGAATAACTGGATCAGCATGAAAAAGACGTCCAACTCCATGGCCAACAAACTGCCGGACAACACCATAACGATATTCATCTGCATGATCACTAGAGAAAGAAATTACATCAACTATGAATCATTATATAATCAGGAACCAAAATTAATTTGAATTACAGTCATAAAAAACAAGCCCATATTAATTTGAGTGACTGTTAAGGTAATTGCTTAGATACTGTTTTGTTTCCTTAAAATTATTTAAAGGAAACAAATTCAATCGTCACTTTGAAAGGAGACGTTAAGGCCCAGGGAGGAAAAGTTCCAGATGGATGCGCTTGAGGGAAACATGGGGAGAGTACACTCCTCCTCTCTTCTGGTTTTCTAATGCAGAGTTCACCTATGAAAAATGCTATAAATGAGATGGAGCAACTGTGAGTCTGAAGAGTGAACCCCATGAGACGATGAGGTTGATTATTGAAGGTCCCATGTGAGACATTGATGTTAGAAAAAAAACACAACTTATTCATAAAAATCATTTAGGTTAAATAGCATCACTATCATGAGAATACGAAAATTGGAGCTGAATGGGTCATCATCACATGGAAATTTTCCTTTATACTCTAAGGGTGTGCTAGGGAGTTAGGTTTTGGAGAAGAGGATAACTTTTTTATTTCTAATTAACATTCTCTAATTTCGTATCTTAAAAAAAAAACTATTAAATAATAGATTAATATAAACTTAATGTATTAATATTTTATTTACTTTAATATATAAATCTTTATGTTTGAAAAAAAATTGTCCTCCTCTCCCTTCTCTAAAATCCAATTCCCTAACACCTTAAAAGGAATATTCACAATGGTTAATATTTGATCTAATTTTAATTGTGAACATTTTCTATTAATACAATAGCATCCTTAAATAATTAACACTCTGGCAGGGATGATTATTTTTTAAATAAAGTTATAATTTGAGGGATAATTCAAATAAGCATATTATAGGAACTAAAAAAAATTAAGAATGGAAAAAGTAGCTCTGTGGAGCCTAAAATATTCAAGGCTGGTTATGCATAAAGTTAAGGGGCATAGTCTAAAGCAATGCAGCTATTAACTTATTGTTAATTATATATAATCTTATTGCCATAGGGTTTCTGTCATTATGCAGTACAGCAAAAATGAAGAAACGAGACATAACAGATGATAGAAACATCTTACTGAATTGTTTTGCCAATTTTTTTGAATTCCACTCCTGGTGCACATATTGATATTGCTTTATCCAGGCATTCTTTAGTTACCTGTAAGCACAAAACAAATGACAATATCTGAATTCACAACAAAAACAATACTTCACAAAAATCCGAGCCAAGTAAGAGACTTCTAGAACAGGACTTCAACCAGAAGCAAGGTAGTTAAAATCGGAATTTTACTTTAAATCGTAAAGGAGAGTGAAAATTCGTAAATCGAATCGCAAGATTTTATAAAATTTGTATATGTAATATAAGTTCATATTATTCATATAAAAATATTATAAATCAGGGGAAAAAACCTTTAAATTAGTAAAAGCACTTAAACAAAGTAACACTCACAAATCATAATCTATTCCATAAAAATGTAATGCATTGACGTGAGTAAAAAATAGACTAGAACAGAAAAGATGCAGGAACAGCAGTACTAGACTTGAGCTCAGAGCAGCACCCTGTTGGGTTTAGTTGTAGACTAGGGTGCACGCACTAGGAGAACTGTTGAATGTTGACAATGATGTTAGGGTTCAAAGCTGCTAGAGGCAAATTGGATTCAATAAAAAGGAGATATATGAAAGCAGCATCAGCTACGATAGAGTTTTTGTGAGGATTTTTAAAAATCGAAGTGAAATCGTGAAATCCCACAATTTGAGAGATTTTACGATTTAAATCAAAATTTTACTACAATTTTGCCCACAATTTAAATCAATAAGACTTCCAAAATTGTAAATCATAGGATTTTACAATTCAAATCAGGATTTTAACTACCTTGACTAGAAGCATAACAAAAATAGCAGTAATATTCAAATTCACTATGGCCAACAAAAGGTTAGATATGATGGATTTTACGGGGATATATCACTTATAAGAGTAAGTGGGATATTGCCATGAGACCCAATAATAACAGTAATATTCTTCGCCATGCATCCTGAACATTATTTCACCAATTAAAATAAAAAACTAAACATTATTACACCAATTATCAATGCCTAACGAATTTAGACCACTTCATTGTCAGTCCATTCTTTTAAGAATGAACACCAATGCAGAAAAACAATAAGCATTCTAGGCCAAGTAATAAAAAATTGAAATTCCTACCTAACCAGTAACACCATAGTTAAAGCAAGCAAATTTTATCCTGTTGGTTTTCACATGTCATTAATAGTGAATATAGATTTTCACCCCTAGGGAAAGAATACCCCTAGGGAAAGAATAGAAAGATTCTATGCCAAAAAATATAGAAAGAAAGAAATAATAGAAAAAGAACATCACAATAACAAACAGATTAAAGTGATGAATTAACAAGAGGGTGCCAAACTATGAAGATGCAAAAACAACAAAAACACATTCATTGTTGGCACAAAGACAAATTGGTACCTGAACTAGTTGCCTAGCCTCGTCATCAACATCTCCACAAAAGAAAGTTGCTGATGTATCACCATGACAGCCCTACAACTCACATCTTTACATTTTATTTGCCATATTAAAGCTTTGAAAAATGCAACTGCAAACAGACGGGCTGATAATATTGATACAGTACCAAGTTAAAAGTAATAATAATAAAACAGATTTAGGCGCATATAACAAAAATTCTTTGCTTCCATCATCTCCTACAATATAGCAGAGGGCATAAACCTTGTAAACACTAAACAGAGACATTGCTGATAAGATAATCAGGAATAGGATGGCTTAAGCAAACAAAATTTGTAAAGGGACCATGCAAAATACATCGTAAATGAAGTGTCATGGCTATTCTGTTCCCAACCCTAACAAAATCAGAATCCACACACAGAGAGAAACACAAAAAAAAACTTACATTTAGATAAACAGTAACATCAATGTTGATTATATCACCATCCTGCAAATAAAAGAATGCATCAACAATTTTATTTTCTTCCAGAGGATGTTTAATTTCAGAAGAACTTGTATAGGACCACCTCAAGTGCATGGGAATCTGGGATTCCATGGCAAATGCATTCATTTACAGAAGTGCAGACACTCTTAGGAAAACCACCATAGCCAAGTGGAGATGGATATGCACCATTATCAATTATCATTTGGTGAACTGCTTGGTCAATTTCATCTGTTGTTACGCCTGGCTGTCAAAAAAGGACATTATATCACTCACAAAGCATTAATAAATTGTTTTATTACATCATAAATTCATAGTAAGCAGCCAAGATTTTATGCAGAAAACATACAATTAGAGAATGTGCAATTGAATGGCAAAAAAGATGTAAAGAACTCACCTTGACTAAGGTGCCAGCATATTGAAGAACCTGTGCTGCAAGCCTTCCAGAAGCTCTCATACATTCTATCCCTTTCTCGTCATGCACTTCAGGTCCACTCACAATCCCTGCAGGACTCTTAGATTTTACATAAGAAGGCCTCAGTATATTCTTCGGCACCTGTCGACGTGGAGAAACTTTTCCAGGTCTCAGACGTTTACGGTTGCTGTTAGGCAATTCATCCAGATTTCTGCAAAGTCATCATCCAAAAGCTTAACCAAAAGACACACATTGGGAGATATACAGAGAGTGCATTTTGAAGAAATAACTCGGGCTTTTAGAAGTGACTTATGACTTTTTTTATAAGCTCTTTTTAACTCATTCCAATAACTTATACTTAACAAGAACATATTGAATGAACACTTGATTAATCTATTTATCAAACACACCTAAAGTCCCCTTATTCAGGAGTTTAAGCTAAATTAACTAGCGTCAGCTGCTACAACAAATAGCAATAGTAATTGAGAAAATGGAACTCTTTGAGAATATCAATTATATCACAGCAGAAACATAACTAGTCGCATTCGTTCTTTTTGCAGAAGACGTGAAGACGCAGAAACGGAACGTAGCGCAGTATACCTTCGATTAAATAAGAAATTGGTAAAGCCAGAAAGTGTTCGAGATAACTGCATCGAAACATGCTTGATTCCTGTCACGAGTGAATTAAATAAAAAAAAAAAAAAAAAAGGGAAACTTAGAAGATCGAAAATGAGAATGACTGGGAAGAAGAAGGAGGAGAAAGAGAGAAAAGAAGAACCAGGATTGTAACGGTAACGGAATAGTTGAGGAAGAGGTTGGTGGCTTGAGCAGCGTCGGAGATTCTCTCCAACGAAAGAGGACTTTAACCTCATTTGCAGTTGCCATGACACGCCACTCGCCATTCTTCTTCCTTTCTCCCTCTCCTTTTATCCGTTCGCCTTCGGGTATGCGTTTTCTTCCTTCTGTTTTCCTTCCTTTTAACATTTTTTTTTTCTGTTCTAAAACAGAAATATTAGGGCCCAGGCCCAAAAATGCTCAACACTGTCAAAACCAATCCCTTCGGAGACTGGCCCATTCATTCAAAATATGGAACCAAAGTTCGTCGGCCTTATGGAACGAAAGAAAAAAGACACTAGTTTCATTTTTCTATCTGTTTATTTTAAAAGATAACTCATAAATTACGAAATATAATTAACATCTTTGTTTATGTTATTTATATTTTGCCTTATGTCCAACCATGTTCCTTAATCCCAATTAAAAAATAGTTTTTAAAATTAAATGATAATAATAATATAAAGAATATTTAAACTAAAAGGTTCTTATCAATTTAATGATTAACAAAATTAGAATATATTAAAAATTACAATAAAAGTGAATTTATTTAAAATTTTAATAAAGAATAAGTTTAAATTTTTAATTAATATCTTTAAAACACCATTCAATATTTCTCAAACTTAAATTTTTACTAATAAAAACTGAAATACTACTACTTTCATTTCTTTTCATTTATTAAAATAGTTTTATTCATAATGACTATTTTTTCAATTATGTTATTATTGAAAATGATGAAAGCAGTATACTGTATAGAATGTTAAAATAATAAACGAGAGAGAAAAAGAACATATTAAAATCTTTATTACAAATAATATTAGCAATGAGAAGAAGAATAAATATTTTTTTAATGTGTTATATAACTTTAAACAATAAATAAAAATATAAAAGAGTGTTTCCTTAATACAAAATTACTCGGGAACAAGACTATCGTGTGTAAGCAAAATTTTCAAATATATAATCCACGTTACAGAATAAAGTGAACCATGCTTTCTTCTTTTCTGTAATGTTATTATTAAAAGATATTACTAAAAACCTTTATTTTATCAGCAAGTAAAATATATTTCAAGGGGTAGAAGGGACATCTTAATCCATTAAGATAGGCCTAGCGAATTACAAAATTTGCATGCACAAAAAAGGTTCCTTAACCCATTCGAAAAAGGAAAATAAAAATCCATCATCTAAGTATTAAAACTAATAATTGTTAATAGCATTAACATTATACTTATAAGTTTTTTCGGATGCCTTTTGTCCCTCAACCAATATCTTCATTGTCTTATGTTAAAATATGCCAATGAATCTGCATTGTTTTAGAGTTTTTTCAAAATGATAATGATAGAAAAGTTTTTCATGCAAAAGGCTTGCATGTGTATAAAATATTTCACTGAATGCGTGGATATATCTCAACCTTATTGCGGTGACGTCGTTTATTTGTTTCACGTTCAATAAAAACGTCGTTTAGTGGTTTCCTGACTATATATCAGTATCAATTACACTTTTATAACCATAAATTCTTTGGGTTGGTTTTAAGTATTTAAAAAGCAATAATTTTATTTAAATGCATATTTTCTTATTATTTATAATGATAATCACCCTATATAATATTACCTTCCACCTCATAGAATATTTGGATTGTACATCTCGTATCGTATCAGTTTAAAATTGTAAAATGTTATTTTAATGTTTCATAAATAAGTATATCAAATTCACGATCATATTATCTTCAAACAACATTATATTTTGTCTGATTGCAAACGTGACACATTGATAAAAAAAAAATATTAATGTCGTGGCTTTTCACTCTCTAGGAAAAAAAGAAGAAATATTATAGAAAATAAAAAAAAATTTATGCTACTTTGACGTTATTATATATTACAAGAAAGAAAGGCATAAAATTAAACACAATGAATCTTTACAAATAATGATTGTATAAAAACACGACAGGGTGAAGAGATATGAATGAAAAAAATGTTATCCACAGAAAGAATAAATAATTGAAAGAGTACATCAGAAGGGATTAAACTGCAGATAAAACGGGGAATGTGTGGAAATGTGAAGGCACAAATGCGCCAAGTCACAAACAATGTTGGCTCGAAGACAAATTAACAGAGAAAACGGAAGAGTATAATTCTGTGTATCAGCTTCTACACGCCAAATCAGCAAGCATTATTGCGTGGCATGGCAACGCTAAACGACAATGTTCCGAAGATTAAAATTTCGCTGCAGGGAACCGAGAGTTAAGCAAAACTTGGTGTCTTCGTGACTCTAAGGTCCCCCGCCCAAAATGCGGCCAAGCCCATACAACGACGACACGTCGTTTTCCCTATTCCTTCCTTTCCTTTGATGGCGACAAATTTTGGAATCCGATGCCCACTTTGATACTTTGGGTCAGTCGCCCTGAGACCGAGAATTTTTTTTTTTATAATTTTTGGCGGGCCCTATCTGGTGGGCCCCACACACCCATTCTACTTGGGCTGGGTCCCGCTTCGTTTGTCCATATTGAACCCATTTATCAAATTTCTGTCTGAGTCTTTATTTTAATTTTGAAAATATCTTTGGTTAATTAGTTTTTGGAAATGATGAACAGATGATACCCTTATGAGTTCTTTCCTTTTACAGTAGTGGAAGGTCCCCACCAGCGTCGGATAACTTGCAGTCCTCGTGCTAACAGTTTTTATGCCTGCTGTAACCATGACACACCATCTGGAGCACTTCAAAATGTTTCTATCCTCATCCATATCCTTCTTCTTCTGTTCTTCCAAAAATCACAATCAAAATCACACCTACTGTAGTATATTTAGTTAAAGAAAATACCTTTCTAACAATTTAGGCTTTGTCTGTTTTAAAATAAAAAGATATTTTTTATATTTTCTAATAAAAATGCACATTTATTATAAATATATGAATTAAATTTTTTTTCTCATTACATCTTACTTATAGTTAATAGTTTGGAATTAATTCTTCCAAATTTTAAACTAAACAAGCACTTAAAAATAATTTGAATGCAAGCTTATAAAATTATATATAGATTCAGAATAATTTTCAAGTTTTTCAAAGTGTAGTAACTTTTGTGTTTTTATTTTATTTTTGTGTAATTTAAGTATCCAAATTAAAATAAAGACGTTATTTTTTTAAATACATAAATGTAGCCATATTTTCTTTAGAACTATACTTTGTTCATTTTAAGATGATTATCATTTAAGGTTTCTTCATTTAAAAATAATATTTTAAATTTGAACTTATTTTGAATCTTAACATATCGAGAAGGTACTAATTACCGTTTATTTTTATCTTAAACTTTTATATATTAATCAGCAAAATAAAAAATCATGAACAAGGTGAGGAAGTAATATAACCAAATGTATTTATACTTTTATAAAAAAAGGTTGATGAATATCCTTATAAAATTAGAAATAAAAAATTATTAATTTTTTAATTAATGCTTTTAGACATTAGTTAACAATATTTTCTATAAAACTAGCTAAACGCATGTAATGATTTTAATTGTGTAGAAAATTTAAACACAGGGTTTTTTAAAATGCAAGGAATATATGTATATAGATAAAAAAAAGAAAGAAGAAAATAAAGATGGATATCTCTAGAAGCGAACCCATGAGGAACTGAGCAAGTTAGCAACTACAGCTGCGGAAGGGTATTGGATTGCGGGTTTTGTGGTTTGATTGGTAGACCTTCCTTACCATGCTCTTCCAAAATGCAATCAATGAGGTTTTGGCTGTCACTACACACAAGTCCACGCCACCCATCCTCACTCATTTCATAAACCGTTAGTGAATTTAAGTAGCATTTGGTCCAGACCGGACAGAAACATGAAAGTATGCATATTATGTTTGAATAGTGTATCGCAATAAAGACATAGATATAAAAAAATATGCAAAATACAAATTCAAAGAACACTAATATACCTTTCGATCAGAGATACAGACGAAATGTTATCTTAAGATTCACTTTTTTATAGCTAGAAATAACGCAAGGATCTATTTTGAAGTCCGTACATCAAACAAAAACCTTGGATAAAATAATATAAATATATGGACCCGTATATTTAACATTTTAAGATTTTGAGTAAAGAAGCGTGTCACGTACTCACATCCACTACTCTTGGAGTTTATTGCTTAACCCATTGGTGTAAGTACCTACAACAAGTACTATCTAAGTGGATAAGAGAATACTGAAAATTCAAGCGTTTTTAGTTAAAATCTCCTTTCCCATCCCCGTTTTTTAAGAATTGGGTTAGATAAAATAAAAGAACAAATTCAACATACACATGTATATGATTTCTTACTTGTGCATTGGTACAAGTCTCGCCCCTTTCGACCTTTCCCCAACATCTTTTCTTGTAATTCGTTCATCATCAAATGCACGACGCAGTCACACTTAGATGAGTTTGGGCAAAGCCAAGTCATAAACAAACCATGGTTTATCCGTTGAGGAGCTTAAAATATCGGATACATAAATGGCCTTATAAAAATTATACATACTTTTATATGATATAATAATTTTTATTAAATGATAATATTTTTGAATTTACTTAAATTATATATCTTAAAAGTTTTTTCTGTAATGCAGATGGTCCCAAGGGCTTCACCTATTCACCTTTTTAGATGTTCCTTCTTCGTCCCAGTTCGTTTCACTTATCCAGTCATAAGACTAAGACCGCTTTGGCTTTTCTTCATCCTTCTATTTTTCTTTTTAGTGTTTAAGATCTTGGACCACTCCGTGTATTTGTAAAGACTCTATCATGGTTATGGAACACACTGCACTGGCATGTGCTAGCTATTCAAAGAGTATGTGTTCCATCTACCAACATTAGAGGATATGGAAAGGTCTAGTATTGTATACTATATATATGAAACATGGATTGAAATCTTTCGTCCTTTTTCTCATTCTTACTCATCTAATAAATTAATACAAGAAAAAGAATCTGTTATATCATAAAGCTCCCGTTATGCACATGATCAAAGAAATGGTCGGGCCTACTCGTGAATCACAGTCTTACCTTAAATTTACAATAAGCTATTTCCACAACTCAAACCATTAACTTTCTGATCATATATGATGTTATATTGTTACATGTGCATCGTGGCTTACCTTAATTGAATGATCATAATTTAGTAAAAGA